GGTGGGGTTTGTGTAAAATTATGATAGGTAAAAATTATTATTGGGTCACAAACTCACATCTATCCACCCAAATATGTTAGCTCTATCTCTGATATTGAGCTTTCTAATAAGTACCGTGCATATAATATATAAATAATTATACATATATATATTTATTTATATTTATGTACACTTTTCACATATGTATGTGTATATATATATATATATATATATATATATATATATATATATATATATATATATGATCGAAATAAAAGTATAAAACTTAATATTACTAGACATATTAAAAACAGGCCAAACAACGGTTTTGCTCCCGCTCTTCAGGCTTCAACAGGAGATTTAATTTAAAATTAAACACATTAATTTCTGTGTTTAATTTTAAATTAAATCTCCCATTGAAGCCTGAAGAGCAGGACCAAAAACCGGTTGCTTCGCCCGTTTTTAATATGTCTAGTAATATTAAGTTTTATACTTTTATTTCGATCATTAAATTTTGTACTTACAAAAATATCTTTAAATACATATATATATATATACACACACACACACAGTGTGATGGGTAAATTGTTACCATTTTATATTTTTAAATTTGTGCACACGCCTTGTTTGTTTTTGATTTTGTCAACTGTACAGTATAGTAGGCTCATTTGGGCACTATATGTAAGAATAAAAGCACCATGATGCAATTCACTCTGCCAGAAATTTGGAAATGGCATGCTTTACTGCTTGGCATTCATGACAGAAACTCCAATATAAACATTTCAGAGTGTTTGGATGTTAGTCTAAGGAAAGTGCAGAGGTTTCAGAAAGAGTTGATGATTATGAAGATACAGCAACTCACTCTGATCATTCTGATAAGAAAAGAACACCTGGATTTGTTGGTGAGTGTCTCAGACTCAACAGTCCTACAACAACTGCCTTGAGGAGGTAGTGATGTCTAGGGTTAAGAGGGTGGCTACTGGAAGACCCTATATCTAACAACAGGACTTTACACCATGCCACACAAGCAGGAGAACCTGTTGTGGCTGTCAAACAATTTCTGCAACCAGATCACTCCTTACATCTGGTCACCTAACTCACTAGACTGCAACCCACTTGATTATTATCTGTGGGGTGCAGATGAGCAAGGGACCAACAAAACTTCTTGTAACACCAAAGATAAATTAAAGGCAAGGATTATAACTGCATTCACCAACTTATTGAATTAACTTACTTTTTGGTATTTCAAGATATTTTTGTGTAATTTTGATAAATATATGTTAAAATGTCAGTATTATTTCCATTTTTGCGTAATTTACACAACAATTTATCTATCGCGCCTTGTATATAATTTGGCCATTGGCTTCTATGAGAACTTCATCCACCCTTTGACAGGTTTTGTTTTTTTTGTCTTGTGAGGTGACATGCCACCCTCCTCACCAGCAGAAAATCTAAGTGGAGAGCTGGTTTAGATACCAACTACCCATCCATGCAACAGGTTGTACTTGCCTACATTTTCCAAGTAGCAGGCCAAAGCCTGACTTAATCATCTCAATTGATTTATTCAACATTACAACAAGGCTATCTTAAGGGAACTGGATATTTTACCAGGATTTATTATCAATGGGCACAATATTAACAATATAGGATATGCCTATGACACTGTGTTAATTATAGGCACCCCCACTCCCAAAAAAAATACAAGACCTCAAAGACAAGGTAGTAAAGAAAAGCATTAACCATCAATTTCCAAAAGGCAGAAACATGGTTATGGCGAGAGAAAAATCCCGCAATGCAAACAATAAATTGGAAACGTCAAAATCAAACAAGTACAAAAATTTAAATATGGCAATGATTTAATGAAGGATGGAAAATGTTACACTGAGTAAAAGAAGCTCTCCAAAAGCTAAACAAAGAATAATAAACAGAAAATTTTCATTAGAAACAAAGAAAAGAATGTTGAACTGCTATGTAATATTAATCCTCCACTTTGGCAGTGAATACTGGACAATTTCTTCAAGAATGAAGAGAAGAATTGTAGCAACAGATTTGTTTAAATAGAAGGTTGCTGAGAATATCATAGACAGAGCATGTAGGTAATGAGGAAGTTCATAGGAAAATGAAAATAAATAAAAGACAAGTTATACCTAAAATCAGAAAAAGAAAGTTGAAATTTCTGGAATGCATAAAGAAGAAATGAAGCCTGGAAAATTTGGCACTCACAGGCCGGAAGAAAGCCAGTAGTAATCTACCTAATAAGCTTGTGTAAATGGTTTTCAGAACAGGTTGGGACAGTAAAAAGTCTGACCTCGTTAAGGCTATGAAGGATCTAAAATTGTGGAAAACCATAATTGTTCCCATGCTGAAAGGATGTAACATATACAAATAGAAGAATTTATGCATCTATATTTTGCATAGATGTAAAAGAATAACATAAGACCTTTATTAACAAGAAGAACTGCCCATAGAAAATTTCATATAGTTTTAAAATGTTTTAGAAAAATATCCCTTGATAAACTGATAAAATATTGAAAGCTAAAACATGTCAAGAAAATTATATCCACAGGGCAATGGTGAGCATAAAAAATATATATGATTAAAAAAAAATTAGAAAATAAAACAATTGAAAACAATTAAAGACTAAGTAGGCATACAAATCAAGTCAGTCATCTTATTAGTGAACGAGTTCAATAAGGCCACCTACCTTGTTGAAAGGTTTGTCATAAAAAAAAAGCAAAGCAGATTAGAATCATTTTCATTGAATACCAATGCATATTAATTGGTATAAATATTCCATCTTCATTTGGTTCCCATCCCATAGACACCATCAACATCACCTTTACTGCCAAAAAGCCTTCATTAGTCAGTGAGTGCAAAAAAAAAGTGAAACAGAAAAATTGAAACTGGTCTTCAAAGACAATTATATCAGCTGATTAAATCCTGAATCAATGCGGACACTTAATGCTAATCCTGGTTAGATTAAAAGCAAACTGAAAGTGAATACGACAGAAGAACAAAAGAAACATAATGAATTGAGTCACTCTTTGAATAAGAACAAAACAATAGCTGACCTTATCTGGAAAAATAAAATGTCCTTCAAATTGCTTGTCAAAATTTTTGAATAATTTCTCTGCGCACACAGAGCTGTCTGTTTGCATATTGATTGGAAGAAAGGTGTTTGAAAACAGTTTTCAAAATCCCAACCAACACCAAACTCTCTGATGAAAAATGTCTGTGTTGTGTTAATGGAAATTTTGATTATCTTTTGCTAATGGCTCGTTATAAAAGCACCCTGTACATTGGTTACAGTGACATTTTAGTACTTGGTTTCATCAAACTGTTTTTAGTGTAATCCTCTAATAATCATTATTGATAGTTTGAACAAAATAGTAAAAGCTCTGGGTATTAATGTAATTTCAAACTTGGAGTATGTGGATAAACATCAAAGATAAGTGCAAAGTATCTTTTTGCAGAGTATTAACATTCTGTTATGGAAACACATATACCTATATGTAATATTTAAAACTATGATGTATATCAAATTTATAATCAATTATTAATGAACCTACTTTTCTCTCAGTGTTCAGACTGTAGATCAAAAGGTCCTACATAATTTACATTGATTATTTTATGGATTTCATAAAAAAAGATAAAAAAAAAGATGCTGCAGTTTTTTTTATTAAAAAACACATATGCAAAATTGTAATTACAAAAAAAAATATTGACAGTTTTAGTAAAGTTTAGTATTATAATTAATTCTTATTGGCTAATATTGTTTTCTGATATACACTTTTAACAAAAGACTTATTTTCTATATAATTCTATCTTCTGACACAAAATATTTTTAAAAATCTTTTTATACATTACATTTAAAAAAAAAACATTATTGGCTTAGGGAAGTTGCAAGGCCTATCTGAAATATATTGTATATTTGAACAATAATCACTCTTTTATATATGTTTCATTGAATCTGACAGACAAGGAAAATTTTATTTCTATTTATTCAATTTTTCTTGTGACGTTACAGATTTTCTTTTATGAAATCTTACAGTATACAGGAACTCTCTGTGGGGATTACTGTTCCAAACACTTTGGGCTCATTCTTCAGTCATTTTAAAGGGGATTATTGTTAGTACATTTTTGTGTTTGTATTCTAGGTTTCATCTTATAAGAGTAGTAGTAATTGCTGGAGTACCTTCAAAACACACCCAATGAGTTTCAACTAGTTTCAAAGAAAGTGATACTTATGGCAAATACCTTTGGAAAAGGTATGAATCTACTTTTTCTCCCCACCTGCTATGAGTTAAATTAAATTATTATTTCCCCAAAACTTTTAGAAACTAAAAATATTTTCTGACTGTAGATAACCTGCAAAAGCCATAAAAAGCAAAAAAAAAAATCCAAGTAATATTAAGTGTACATATGTAGCATTTCATAAAATATGCATCCATTATCTTTAAACATCTTCTACAATTATGTTTTTAAAATGACACACATTAGTGCAAATTAAAATCCTTCTTTTTGGTTCCAAACATGTCTAGTAATATAGTAATTAGTATGCTAGTCATGTTTATAATCAATTTGAACCTGAGTGGATTTTTTACAATTATAGCCAATACCAAATTTGGCTTAATTTAAATACATTCAATGTTTGTATAACTTTTATCCATAACCCTCTTGTATATTCTCAATGTAGGAACACTTTCAACTCTTCTATCCAAACCAGCTCAAGTGGATAAAGAAATCTGTTGCTGGATAGTTGGTTGTTTTTGTTTAGCTGTATATCAACCTCGATGGGTTATTTAATGCCAAAATCTAAATATCTTTCAACACAATTTTATTTTATTTTTGTAGATAATAATGATTTAGTGATACAAGTCTGACTAATTAATGCATAGCTGTGGGTATAAGTGGATTCATGCCTTTCTCAGAGATATTTGCACTTAAGTGAATATAATGAACCTGACTGGAATTGGAACTGATTAACAATTCTGAATCATTACACCACCTGCACATCTGAGCTTACAACACTTAGTATTCCCAAGCAGTCATCCATCAAGGTACTGACCAGGCTTGATATTGCTTAACTTTGGTGATTGTACAGGAGCTGGTGTTTCATCGTGATGTGGCAGTAAACCTTGTTTCTGGAGCTACAATACTAATAAGTGTAAATAGGGCTTGTTTGTGTGTTGTCTAGGGTATCATGCTAGCAGAAAAGTAATAAAAGGTAACATACAATAATGGAGTATTGTTAAAGTGAAAAGGTGGATTAATTTACACTTTCATTTCAGGTGTTACACAAAAATAATTTGAGAGTTTGTCATAGGATTCTACTGCATATATGGGAGTTGGTATAGCTGAGTAGTTGTAAAGAAATGTAAACTGAGGAAAATATGCACATATAAGCTTTATTTCATAGCAAGAGTAGAAGCTTTCATTGTCTTGAAACCTGATATCATTTGATTCTTGTTACCTCTGAGACTGACATCAGTTATTGGTGTCAGACTTCAGTAGGTAAGTGTCTTTGGTAAATGCCTATGCAGAATAGTGAGGGACAGGCATATTGACTACAGTAGTTTAGATGAACCTTCTACCTCTGAGTTGAATGGATTATAGTTTATATAGTATTGGAGTGGATTGAAAACTTGCTTGAAGCTGCATGGATCTTTTGTCGTGGACCAGGAAATATTTTTATGACATTTTAGATGCTACAACTCTTTCTAGAGGTTTCTATATAGATAGGTTACAGGGTGATTAAGGGATGTAGACAGAGAAAACCAGCCCTTTTTTGTAATGCTTAGGGTTGTTTACGGTCATGATCTCTGCACTGCTTACATATATAATTTCCTTCATTCAGACATTACATTTTATTTTACAAATATGTATACAATAAATAAAATATATAAATAAGAAATCTGAAGGGAATGACCATAAATAACCTGAAACATTATCACAAAACAAGATGTGGGAAGGGATGGTTTCCTCCATCTCCAACTCAGGTTACCCCCCCCCCCAGTGACCTCTATATAGAGAACCTGCTAAATAACAAATGGCACCTGATTTGAAGATCACATTGAAGTGTGAAACTGACAGTAACCAGGCAGTGTTGGTTCCTATGTCCATGCTATCTGTAGATGCTCTGCCTCTGACACAAAGCACTCTTCCCTGATAAATATAGCAAGTTTTAAACATATATAACATTATGAAAAAAAAAATAGTAATAAAAAATCAAAATGTTCACGAATGGTAAAAGTTGAAGTCATATTTCATTTTCACTGCTGCGGAAAAAGTCATGGAATGTTAAGTCAAACAGAAATTGCATTGGTTGCAACTTGAAGAATGATTGTTTTATAGCCATGGACAGAGTGTTAGCCCTGTCCATTCTATTGATCAGTCAAGCATAATTAGTATCTGGCTGTAAATTTGTTATAAATGAATGGTGTGCTTGTTCAAAGCTCCTTAATATATATATATATATATATATATATATATATATATATATATATATAAATATAAAAAACAAATGTAAACCTGTTTTCATAGGCCCTTTCTGTTAGGGGATATATACTGAGATTGACTCAATATAGGAATTCATCACATGCGACCAAATATGCAATTCATATTATCAGTGCAAAGACCCTGTGCAATCTGTACCAATATGCTTACAAATAATGACTTTCATATGTAAAGGTAAAAAGATGTAATATAAGTTCAAATCTATTCCCATATATGTATAAATCAATTTGTGATTTGCTTCTTCTTACACCAAAACTCTTTTTTGTTTCTTTCATGTATACAGTATACATGAACAGGTACAGAGATCAGAATATGATGTACCGTTACATTCATATACAAAATGTCATAAAACACTCACACAAATATATATATATATATATATATATATATATATATAATAATAAATTGGTAATCCATATGGAATATATATATATATATATAGAGAGAGAGAGAGAATGTGTTTATATATTGTATATGTAGGCTTACAACCATATCACATTGAAATAGTGGTTTGCATTCAATCACGAGAGTTAAGCAATATCAAGCCTGGTTAGTACCTAGATGAGTTACCACTTGGGAATACCAGATGGTGTAAGCTAGTATGTGTGGTTAGTATAATGGATAACAAGCTGGAAATTAGAGAGCTGAATTCCAATTCTAGTCAGGTTCATTATATTTACTTATGTGCAAATACCCTTGGAAAAAGTATCAATCCACCTCTTCTCTCCCCACCTATAAGTTAAATAGTAGGACTTGTATCAGTAAAACATTATCTCCAGAAAATTCTTTGAATCTAAAATTATCTGTTTTTAAATAACCTGGAAAAGGTTGACAAGCCATAAAAAGCAAATGAATCATTCTCATATATATATATATATATATATACAAAAATTTCCTGTGTATATAATATAGATATTAAATTATCACTGCACAAAATATTCAAACATATGTATGAATACTTTTTTTGTATGTATGTACATACACACACACACACACACACACATATATATATATATATATATATATATATATATATATATATATATATATATATATATATATAATCAATAAGTCTGTGACCTTATGATGTAAAAAAACATTTATTTTAAATATTTATTTTTTGGTATAACCACTTTTTTGTCAATGACCTTAATATAGTGGTGAATATTAATAATATAGATTCACTATCATACAGTGAAAATTTCAGATCAAAATCTTTCTGATATTACAGGCTATGCACTTATTGATCTAACCCCCACACGCACAGAGAGAGAGATAAAGAAAGCGATTGATTGATTGATATGTAATAGATATAAAACAAAACCTGCATCTGTATATGTGTATAGGTGTTGTGTTTTATATATATATATATATATATATATATGTATATGTAAGTAAAAATATAAATAAAGTTTCTAGAATTAATATCAATGTTCAGTAAATGCTTAGGATCACTGGGGCCAACCATAAATATCTCAGTGGTTGTGAAAGATCACAGCAGTGTGACCAGTGATGGCAGTGCCTTAGAACCTATGACTGATCTTTTCCAGTCACTGAACAGGTGAGTTCAGCCTTAGGTAACACTATCAAATAAATAAATAAATAAAAATCCTATGAAAGAATATTTTAAATGCACCACATGACATCATTTCTGTGCAACCACAAGCAAGTGAGGGAGTATTTATTCTTTAAGGTTGTTCTTGTTCATTTTACATATTTTTATCTTATTTAATATTGGAAAAGAAAAAAATATTCAGCAGGTATTTTACTGGTCAGAGAATGTCATGATCTCAGATGATTGAAGTTTTATTTATTTTTATTATAGATTTATCTTTATTTACATTCTTATTTTACTTTTAAAACTTTTATTAATATTATTTATTTATTTATTCTTTTTGTGTAGTTTTTTAAAATTTTTATTTGATGTAATTGCTTTGTTTTTTTTTTTTGCCAAAAATGTGAACATGTTTTATTTTTCATGTGTTTTTATTTATCTTAAAATTAGGATTATTTTTTATTATCATTATTCATTATCATTGTTTTATTCATCATCATATTATTTATACATGATTTATTATTTTTTATTTTACATATATTTGTGTATGTATGTATGTATGTATGTATGTTTGTGTGTGTGTGTGTGTGTGTGTATATATATATATATATATTGGGTGCGTGGCTGTGAGGTTAGAATGTTTGATTTCTGAAAATGAGATCTGGGTTCGAATCTCACCATGGTCGATTTCTCAGGTAGGCGACTTCTTGATGTTATCAGTCTGGAGTGGGGACAATCTCAGCATGCAGCATCTTTGGAAAGTGCTTGAAAACTGTATCATAGGTTGAACCAAGTCTTGTGAGTGAAATTGGGTAGATGGAACACTTGGGGGCCATCAATAGCAGTGCTAGCATGAAGCCACAAGTCATTGTGGCTGAGGGCATGAGCTTGCTGGCCTTGTTAAAATTTTTGATCACACTAGATAACATGCTCGCTTCAAGAAAATGTAACTAAGGTCTGCTCAGCATAGTTGCAGTATAAACCACAGGGCTCTGTGGGTCTTGAGCAAACACAAAATATGTCTGAGCAAGCATCTGCTATAGGGATTAGCTAGCCACCCTAGTAGACAGGTATCCTCAAATACCTGTAGCCAGCTATCATCATCATAAATACAATAAAGAAAACAAGGAAAACTTATCTTAGCCAATGTGCTTAATCATCTGTGGGACTTTATCAAGGCAAATGATAACATCCCACAGAAGAAAAAACCCATTGGCTAAATATGTTTTCTTTTTTCTTTATTATTCATATTGTATTTTTTAGATCTATGCTATCTGAAATTTTTACACACACACACACACACACACACACACACATATATATATATATATATATATATATATATATATATATATATTCAAATGTTATTATAGTGGATATTCATATTTGAAATAGACACCTCATTTTTATTTTAAACTCTGTATATTACATCTATCATCTTTCATATTCAAGAAAATGTGTTTTCCTGCAGGAATCGAACATCCATTCCCTTTGTGAGGGGAACCACCACTTCATCCAATGTGCTTTACTGTAGCCTTGTTGAACTATGATGCTCTTCATAGCCAAGCAGCAAAGCACATTGGATCAAAATGGTTGTTCCTCCTACAAAGGGGGATGAAGGTTCAATTCCTTCTGAGGAGCACATTTTTTGAATATGCAAACCGATTGACATAATACATACTGTTTAAATTAAAAATAAAAATAGACCAAAATTTCAAATACAGGTATCCACTACAATAACATTTGAAATAATAAAAATGTCAGATTATATGTATGTATTAATACTGTTGTTCATTCAATACAAAGCTCAAGAGCAACTCAAGGTAGAGGTTTACTAAATGTAGTTGCTGTAAGAACATTCAAGGAGGAAAGAAATGCATATTATGAGGTAATGTAGAATAAATAAAAGCTTACTCTAGACTTGTTAAAATTATAGTGATCAGGGGAGCATTCTCTCAGGAGTCTGTTCCCAAAAGTAGCAAACTACTATAAAACCAAAATATTAACCTATAAACTTGATTCATGTTTTTAAATAGCCTTGTCAGATCAAGATTTTCAA